TGTCATCCCACTTTACAGTCGGAGATGTTTTCACTGAGTTATATTGTGATACGATTGACCTGTCCTATAGGACAGAGATATTTCTACAACTGATCGATCACTGCGTAGTCAATAGCCAAACGGCTATTAGGTAAATATTTTTCATTATTGAATTATGGAGATTATTGTTTTTCATTGAAATAGTGAACCAATCATTGTTAGACCACCATTAGAAACCTGCAAGCACTGGACCATAAAGGGTGCGCACTGTTGTTGATGAGTCCCTTACTAGGATGAAACAGCCATCCAGTGCTTTCTTTCTTAATAGTGGTCTACCAATCAATAAATAACTCACTAGATCAGTATAAATGGATTCGCCGTAGATTTTGATTGTAATGATCGAATCTTATCGATCCACTTGTGAATGAAACAACAAAGCACATCAATCAATCAATGCAATCTTTGACTATCTTTCAAAACCTGGAATCACTAGGTGGCCGGCCGTTTTGTTCTCATGAGAGCAATGCTCATCCATCGCCCCACACACACACACAATAATCAAATTCAAGACATTCGATCTCGTGTGTGTGTGTGTGTGTGTGTGTGTGTTAATGCATAGCCTTGGTATCTTCAACTTTGAACAAAATTATTGAACATTTGTAAAATATTTTCTTATTCCGTTTCATCTCTTTCCTTTTTTTTATTAAATATAAACATACATAGTTTAGAACACACACAAAAAAATAAGCGCATACTTACTTACTTACTAAAACACCACAAACTCTTTCTTTACTTTGTATTGTTTTTTCCTTTTTCCTTTTCGTGTACAATAATGATAGATAATAATAATAACCATCAAATTGAATTTCGCACATTGAAGTGAACATGAAAATTTAAACAAACTAACACACAAACTATTTCATAAAACAATGTTACTTATTCCTTCTATCATAATATTATTATGCCTGTCTACATCTATATAGTTGTTATATATGTGTGTGGTAATTTAGTTTAACTAAGATAATAATAATAAATGATTTTGACTAGAAATGAGAAATTTTTTTTAGTTTGCTTATCTGTCTGATTGTTTTGTTTCTTTCTTATCTTTCTATCTCTTTCTAACTCTCTTTGTCTTTCACTCTGTCTCCCTCTCTCTCTCTCTCTCTCTCTCTCGCGCTCTACATATTTCAACAACAAAAAACCCAGATTACAATTGACACTTGAACAACGTTTGTTTCGTCAAGTTTCCTATTGTTTTTCTTAGTTTGTTCGTTCGTTCGTTGTCGTTATGCTTCTCTTAAATATATGTATATATATATATATATATGTTTATATACTACTCATAATGAGGCCATCATATATAGTAATATATTTTATATTACTAAAATGAATACTATACAAACAAACATTGAATGATGAATTTGATGGCGGTATACCAAAATTTTTAAATGTTGATTGTTCAATGCTATAAGAAACTAGTAAGTGAATTTTTTATTTTGCCTCTTCATAATCTCTTTACATCAAATCTCTCACTCTCTCTCACTCTCAGGATTCATTCATTGTTGAAGAATTTTAACACACACACACACACACACACACAGTAGGATAACTTATCTATACTATATATTTTCAACGATGTAGTTATTTAATTATAAATATTTAAGCTGTTGTGTTATTAAACATTGTCTTGTCTTGTCTCTTTCCATTTCTTTTCTTGTCTTGTCTTGTCTTGTCGTGTTTTTTCTTCATCATTTTTGTTCAGTGCATATAAGTTCATTTTTAGTTGTTGTTATTGTACTAGTAGTAGTAGTAAAAATTTTTCATTAACATGTTAACTAATTTCTGTTGTTGTTGATGATGATTTGTTCATCATAGTTTTACATCTTTATTTCTCCTTTTTTTCTCTTTCTTACAAGTAACTTTTCTCAGTGTACATTCATTGTACATTGTACATTGTACGTACTTACCAGTTAGTTGTCTATGAAATGTGTGCAAGTGTGTGTGTGCGCGTGTGTTCATTTGTTGTGAAACAACAAAAGTTTTTGTTTCCACACCTTCTTTGGTTTTGCCCTACCTCTTTGTGTGTGTGTAAGTGTGCAAGTGTGTAAGTGTGTGTATGAGTGTACTAACAACAAACGCCAAACATTTCAACTGTAGTAGTAGTGGTAGTAGTACAATGTTGTAACACATACTAGTAGTGTATATAACCTATCAATACTTTGACTATTACAAAAATAATAATAATAATAATAATCTTGACTTTACACAGTAGATAACATGTTGAATGAAAACAATAGAATTTATCCGTTTTTTTTTCCCTCTTGTACAAAAGTAATAACATATAAGTAGTATTAGTAGTAGTAGTAACAATAGTATTTCATACCACCAAGAGATTACAACATAAATTGTCAAAATAATACTAATCATCATCATCAACAGCAGCAACAGTAGTAGTACAACTGTGCATTTTATGTTTAACTAAAGTGTATTGTATGTGTTGTATGCACACAGACACTACATCAGTTTGTTGGTGTGTATAGAGTTGCCTATGTAAATATGCTTGCTGTGTGTTCATCATACACAGCACAACACAGCACAGTAGATAGATAGATAGATAGAGATAAAGTTTGAATGAAAAAATTTCCACTTTGAATTAGTTAAACTTTTGAACATGTAACATGCCATAACAGTATCAGTAACAACAACAACAAACTTTACAAAACAAAAGATTTTTAATTATTATGATTGTTATTACCAAGATGATGATGATGTTGATGATGACTATTGCCATAAAATTTCGTAACATGCAAAATGTTCTTTCTCTCTCGTTTATATATATATATATTTATATATGTGAGGTAATTTCACATCAAATATATATATATGTATATATCTGTGTTAAAATAAACCGACTAAAGTATTATTTGAAAGAAAATGAAATAATAATTAATATTTTTTGGTTTATTACTACTTATACTACTAATATTACTGTTACTAGTAGTAATAGTAATAGTAATAATAAAGATAGTGTAAAAAAAAATACACTTTGACTAGTTTTGCAAAACCGATACAAACATTGAAATGTGTGAAATTATTCTCTTCTCCGTCTTCTTCTTCCTCGCTAGCATCATGTTAAAAATGTACCCAGAGAAAAAATATTTATATATCTCATATTTTACTATTACTGACATACTTGACTTGACCATACTTAAACGAACTAGTTAAAGTAACTAGAAAAAAAAAAGATGAAACAGAACATGTTAAACTACAATTAATTTTATTTAAAACATAAAAAAGATTTTTTTTTGTCTTTCTAAAATTTTTTTTTGCAGTCTTTTATTTTATATATCTATAGACAGTAAAATAATGTTTTTGTCATTCAATTGTGGATTTAAATAGTTTTAGCATGGATAATGAAAGCTAGATTGGATTGGATTTTGCCAGTTTGTGTCATTTATGGCGCAAGGCAGATATTTATCTACCAAGCAAAGGATGAGTCTACTGTGCAGTAGTTCACTCTGTCTGTCCTATTGCATGGATGTGAAACACGATCAGTTAGAGTAGAGGATATTTGTAGGTTATTAGTATTCGATAATCAGAGTCTTCGAAGCATTGCCCGTATATCCTGTCAGTCAGTCAGTTACATGCAACGTAGAACTTCGTACGTAAGCAGATCAGTTCATGTTGCCATACCATATTAGCACAATAGTAGAAGAGGTAATAAAGGTATTAGAAGTAATCGGAGAGGTTAGGATTAGAAGATATTATTCAAGAAGTATGATTCAGTGAGATAAATTTAGAAAGATAAAGATAGAGGTGATGAGGAACTCAGAAGATTAGAATTTGAGAGAACACAAAGAGTAAATGCACCGGCGCCATTGCAAACGGTTTTGAGCCATGTCATTCAAGGTCTCTAACCATCGATTATTATCGAAGCATTGCTCGTATATCCTGGGACAGCCGAGTAAGCAATGCAATGTAGTTAAGAAACAGACACTAGGTAAGGGTGGCAGGTCAATAGATGAAGTAGTGAAACTCCATCAGTTGATGTGGTTAGGACAAGTGTTACGTATGCCGAACCACCTCGGCAAGCGATGAAACCTGATGTAAGAGTAAGTTGTAAGAAAGCTAGAGGCGGCTAAACCAAAAAAATAAGCGATAAATCCATGAAGTCACTGAAAAATTTGGACTGAGCCATGTTGTTAGGTGTAGAATACTACTTGGTTGAGGTCCGATAGTTAGAGACCTTGAATGACATATAGCTGAAAACCATTTGTAATGGTTCAGATGTATCCATTGTTCGCCTTCTCTCAAATTCTAATCTTCTGAATTCCTGAAAACAGTTTTTTATCTCTTTTTTTTTAAAAGTTATTCCTGTGAGATAAACTACTCGAATGATATTTTAGAACCCTAATCTTCTGCATTACTGATAATACTTCTACTATCTCTACTACTATGGGATTTGAATTGACAATTAGATCTCTGTGTGCTAGTGTGGCATGTCAATTTGAACTGATGTATGCACGTACGAAGTTCCGCATTGTAGCTGACTGACTGAATGACTAAAAACACTTTTATTGTGCTAAACATTCACTCAGATTAGTTGACATTTCTCTGAATACTACTTATAAACCAGTTTATAAATAGTATCCGATACATTAGTATAATATTTAATTTTAAAAATATACTACTGTAGTGAAGGAGAACACAGGTGAGTGCAACCGAATTTTGTATTTAACGAAAATTACAGAGTTACTCAGTAAAATAGGAAAACCATATCGTAAACCGTTGTTAATTTGCAAATCTTCAATCCATCATCAATCCATTGTCTGACATTTCACTCACTATTCATGCATTTCATACAAATTCCATTGTGTTCCCCCACTCTTCCTCCCTTTCTTGATCTTCCCCCATCTTCTGCTGCCAGACATTACGTTTACACTCGCGTCATATACTACTTATAAGTAGCGCGCAGCACACTACTAATAATCATATCGTTTTTTTTAAATTTTCTATTATAGACAATAATACACTTTCATCTGTAGCACAAATAAGTCCATTAAATGAATATGACAACGAATCAATATGCTCATCGAATAAAAATGAAAATTTTACACAGAATACTACTACTACTACTACTAATAATAATAATACTTTAATTCTTGATACAGAGCAATTAAATAAATCACCATGTGATACTAGTGAACAACAAAAACACTGCACTCCTATTGAACATGATAATTTAACATTGAACGAAACCACATTGGAACATCAAACTCATTATGGCGGTGTTTTAAAACAAGAAACTGATCATATTAATGAAATAGAACAAGATTCTTTTGAAATGAATTTAAACAAAGTGGATATTTGTAAAGGTGATGACGACAACAATGATGATGATAGTAATAGTAATAATAACAATGATAATATGTGCCTTAACACTTCTTCAACATTGAACACATTACTGGATCAATCCGTTCAAGAATCAATCAACTAACTAACATTATTTGTATGAATTAATAATAACATTTTTTTTAAATATACATATATATCCTTTTTCAAAATTGAAAAAAAAAACGACACAGTCAATTTAAACAAGCAAAAAATTCCCAATGAATTATTGATTTTCTTTTTGTGATGAATTCAAAATAAATACTGATCATTGAATAACTTTTTTTTTCTTAATTTCACTTATTAGTTTATTGATTTCAAAAAAATAATTTTAATTTATGAGTAAAAAAAATTAAACAAAAAAAACAAACAACAATATCTTTTACGTTTTAAAAATTTAAATATGGGGTTCTTTCAATGTTCATTCTCTTTCTCTCTCGTATGTACATACATAATTTTTTTGTACAGAGTTTCACAATTTATTCAATATTTTGAAAAAGGGATTGATACTTTGAACTGATGATGATGATCATCATCATCACCATAATAATAATAATAGTTTAAATAAACAAAATTTCAATTGATCATTGAATTGGGTTAAATGTTCAAACATTATATATATAAACATATATGCATTTATAGCTTATTTTCTGCTTGATAATTTTTGTTTATATATAACTAACTATATGTATCATCTGTATGTACTTTTTTTAAAAATTTTTTTCTTTTTCAAAGAAACCTTTATATAAATATATATCGACATTAGTTACATGATGATGTATAGGCTTAAATTAACGTTAATACAATTCGTATGTACTAACTAATTAAAGCATTTATTATTGGATTAACATTTATCAAATGTTGTGGATAATTATAAGTGAATAATTTTCATTTTATATACATTATCATATATGTTCTAGACTTATTTACTTACGCTTGTTACCCCCCGATTGAGCATAAGCTACTAACCAGTACTCGCCAACCTACTCTGTTCTGGGCCTTTCTTTCTACTAATGTCCGTCTGCATTTCGCGGCGTAGTGAGTTCCTCGGTCTTTCTGTTTTTCTTTGACCTTGAAGATTCGAAATGAGGGCTTGAATTGTGATTCAGTTGAGTACTTTCCTTAATGTGTGTCTGTTATGCCTGCACGTAAACACGTCAACTTGATATCCTTGAACTATTACGAGTTTACCTAGTCGGAAAACGAGAGCGAGGATCGAGGATCCGGTGACACTACATGCTACTGAAATCCGATTATCCCTACCCCCATATTGAGTAAAAATAAGAATACTTGATATGAAGTAGAGCCTGTATTCTACAAGCATTCGGAAAGTACGAAGTCCGAGTCCAGAAGAGAATCAGGGTCCGGACTAGGGATCCGGGATCGGGTCCTGGTCGTGGTCATAAAATGTTACAGATAATGCGTATTTATACATTTTGGTCGAATAGGAAACAGCATCGAAGTCTGTGACATTGACAGTTAAGACGACCAATAGGAAGCAACATTTGAAGTGACATTGATAGTCAGGACGACCATGAAATTGATCAGTAGGAATCGACCAATAATTCTCTTAGGATATTGGTTGAATATCCTAACAGTGTCCTATACACTTCCAGTACTTTTTCCTTATTTCTTCTTCCACTGAAATCTGGTTTGTTTTTCCCCACAGTAGGTTGTTGCTAATGGTGTCTAGTCAACGGATCCGAAATATTTTGCGTAGACAACTGTTAATAAACACTTGTATCTTCTAAAAATAGTGGCAGAAGGTGTTGGGTCCGATTTCCACGAGTAGGAGACGTCGAAGATATGCATTACTGATGCGTCCTATACTAGAACAAAATGGCTGAAAAGTGCTTATAGGTTTCTAATGGTGGCCTAACATTGGTTGATTTATGATTTCAATGAAACTGAAAAATCCTCACGGCTGTACAATAAAAATCTTAATAATTAGTTTAGTTTCTATCTATCACCACCTATGTACCTAAATTCAAAATTGTAAGTGAACAGTTAAGTTAACAGTAAGTCAGTTTAATGTAACATTTCAATTCTTTACTTTGTTGACGACTATAGCCCAGACGAAGAACACTCCATTCAAGGCTAATGCAAAGAACTTTTTCTAAAAAAATATTGGGAAAAATCTTAGCTTTAAAATGCCTGAAGTTGTGCCATTTTTATAGAACGAAAGACAGTATTTATGTAAACTATTTTACACGCAGGCTACCAATTGCTTTTGGTTGATTTAACATTCTATTCTGTACAAGTCTCAATAGACATTCATTTTTCGTAAGTTATTTTTCTATAAGAGATCAATACTTCGTCTGCGAAATCACAGATGTAAATCCGTTTGATACTTGTAGCGAGAGATATCACTGACTTTTTGTATTTATTATTTAAGAACTTAACAGTAGAAGCTTGTCTATAAGCCATGACTCTAGAGATTTGCTTAAGTTGTTCAATCCTATTTACATTTACATTTAATTTCATGTATACTATGATGATCTTATCGAAATGTGCTGATATAGTCATGTCTGTTACATATTTCACCGGCATTAACTTCAGTACTCTGGCATATCGAAGCGAAATTTCTAAAGATTAGTACGTTTTCTTCCCAGATTTCAGAAGTATCTGACTCAGTTAACATACAACGGTTTCCTGTGTTTCTAAATCTTAGTAAATTATCGTCTCATAACTTTAGATCATTAATGATGAGCTTGAATGCAAGTTAAACCTAGTCATTATTTCGCCTTTGCCAGTGAGAGGAATGATAATAGCGTTTGTTACAGACAGAGTAGGTACAAACCGATTTTACAGATGTGACAGTAAGTGTTCTAAATATAAAAAGATCAACATATTAGGTTTTTTCAGGATATACTTGGGTTTTGAATGAGTTTGTCGGATGAAATTCTATTGTGAGTACAATATTTGGTTTAAGAGTCAAACAATGCATTCAGTAAAATGGTGATATCATTGCGCATATTGAAATCCTAA